AAGTATAAAATTAAAAGATAAAATTTCTCTACAAGTTTATCTCAAATTTTGTTGCAAATTAAAGATTGTCCAAAGTAGATTATAAATATTTCTTGAACTTTTGTGTTGTAGTACATGTATGGTCATGTATATTTTTGCTTAAAATTTGATGATTAAACAGCTTGTAAATTACGCGTGATCAACTTACCAAGTATAAAAGGTATCTGATAAATGGCAGGAAAAAAGAGACCATTCACAGTCCTCAGCGCGGTGTAGATCACGTAATTCGGACTGAAGCTCGTGGCGATGGAGAATATCACCTCGAGGAACAGGATGGCGAAGAAGGCTGTTCTTCGGCCCCATTTGTCGGCGATCCAACCGAACACGACATTGCCGAAGAGACTGCCCACGTAGAAGAAAGTCGTCGACGTGGAAGGCCACCAGCTGTTGTCACATACCAGATCTAGCTATGTGGATATAGAACGCCATTAAACTACTTCGCCAACACGAATTTGCATATTGGCGAAAATAAGCCATGGAGATCAGTTAATGGCATAACAATAATAAATACAGAAACTAAAATGAAAAATAATAAGAGATAAAAAATATCGGACGTTATGTTTAAGTTGTAATAAAAATAAATATTCATAGACAATAAGTGGTATTAATCGATGACTGATTTGAGAAAAGCATGTGTGTTTTAATTAATCGAAGCGTTTCAAAGCTTTTTGCATTTCGCTTATCTAATCGAAAAATACCAAACAATCATAAGAACTGAAATTAGATCACTATAATCAGGACGGAAAGTTATCACACAACCAACGAGATTATGAATAACGACTGTATGACGACTCGAGAAGATAAATCGATATCGCGGAATGTCCGAAGAAGTCATTGCTCCGATCAAACTGTTATCGTTCTTCTTATATAAACATACACATAATATACATATATAATTGTGGACTGTCTTCAATAAATGTGATTTTGAGATTCTACAAAAATTATGATCGACATATATTTCGTAAGATTTGCATCATAATATAAGAATATAAGATGTTATAATATTAGAATAACGTTAAAGTTCACGGAGTTTTTCAAATAAATTAGAATTTGCATAATTCTCCAAATATAAAAATTCAATATGTAGCATATATATTGGCTATCTATTAGAATGATAATCTAAGCTTCCGATATGCAAACATACCTTGTGTTATAGAATTTTTAGAATTTGATACAAAAGCTTTTTTCGAAGTATTATAAAAATTCGAAATTAAATTTAAAAAATATGCATAGATTACAAATTCATCGCGGACATTCGCTGACATTGACGGTAAACGTTATAAAGCGCTCTATACACATACACCCGCACAATAGCGTACATGCGGCGCGCTATGCGCCAACATTAGCGACGAACCGGAGTGCGTGCTCGCACGCGTGTGAATACACGCGTCATTCGGTTGATCGTCATTTGCTCGTCGGTCCAGCATCGGTGACACACGCACCCGCGTGCGCGCTTCGAAGAATGGAGCAGTGGTTGGAAGCTAGAAAGTGGGGGATGCTGCGCTGGACCGGCACAGCGCGATGGTGGAGGCGTTTCATCTCGTTGCGTTCACGCGGAAGGCTACCGGCGTAAACGCGCTCGTGTTTATCGCGAGTGGGGGAGAGCACGCTTACGTGTACGTGTACGAGGTCTGCATGTAAATTGCAAGCTCGCATGCGGACGCGCGTGTTGTCCGAAGGACGCCAAGGTGTATTGGTAAGCTTCCCACAGTGAGAGGTGTCCATCACCCTCGTTTGACAGGAGGAACACGGTCCCCCTTTCCCTGCGTCCTTTAAAGACCCCATCTCTCTTTCTCTCGCACACGATCTCTCGCGCGGCAAAATCGACGCGATCATCTCAACGAGCGTATGTTTGTTAATGCAAATGATGACGATAGATGCTTATACTTTGTACACTGCATTTTCATATGACACACTAATTAAAGAATTGCGCACATGTAATTTTGAAAAATTATTAGTATAGTTTCTACTTTACTTATATTTTTTCGAATGTTGTTGAAAGGAACTATATAATTGCATAAGAATTACTTGCGCAGATTACATTTAAATTAATTTTTAATATGGATAAAAAAATATTTTCTTATATATATATATATATTTGTATTTAAAAGACAATTAAATTCCAATGAGATGTTTTTAATAAATGCTTATTATATTCAATCTATTTTATGCAAGAATATCATCTCGACTTTACAATAGCTTAGAATAATTTAGCATCCGTAGAATCGCGAAATAATAATTTTGGAGAAAATAAGGGAATCGCGCGCACTTCCTTCAAAAATTCTCTTTCGCTAAGAAATAACGTGGATGCAGTTGCATCTGGATCCTCGACATGCATCAAAAAGATGTAATTAACATTATTAGCAAAAGCAACCCACGTATGACAGCTGAACAAACATAATTTCTCGATTGAGTGCCTATTAGCTTCGACAAACAAAATCTACCGGTACATGTTAATAGCTTTGACACGAAGTTTGATTTAAGCAAATTGCCACTTACAGACTTTCGAGGTCTGCGCGAAACGCGCAAAAGATAAATTGCGCGGAAAGACAGAAGTGCACCCGCTGATGATGCTATCGAGTTATTGTCAAGGGCAGTGCGCGCCGCCCATAAGGACATTAATAACACGTATGTATTTTGTCACCCTGACATACTTTAAAATCGCGCGATATTGATATGGCCGCGATACCGTTTGTTATCGCGATTGTTTATGCAACTTGTTGCACAGATTCGACACATCGATATTGAATTCTACGTCGATCGGTGAAATACGTCGGCATAATATTTATAATTACATATAATTAATTAGCTGCAAAATATATGAATCACAAGAGAGAAGATGCAAAGAAACGATACGACTAATACCAAAACTTCACGTCAAATTTTGCGGAAATATTGTGTGATAATTAGTCAATAGTAATTGAGAATAAAGTCTGATACATTTTTCTGCATACACTTAACTTCGAAACACGCCATGATGCTCAAAAGTTTCTATTCGCCACGCTATACTTATACTCAATTAAGATCGCAACCGCTTTATTTATAAAAAATGAAAATACGCGAGCCGCGTAAATACGAGCCGTGTAAATACACGCTGCGGATTTACGTAGACACGTGACGCACATCGAGAGGCAAACCTGTCCCTTCGTTTTCCATTTTTCATTGTCATCGCTTTCTACAGCTATGTTGCACTCGTTTGCTTGACGTTTTATTCACCTCTTCTATCATTTATCATTTTACCCTTTTTATCAGTTTACTATGATGCTTGTTTCGTCACGAAATAATCACGCCTTTTGCAGATGAATTAAATTACTTTATCGAAAAATATACATTGAAAACTTTTAGAAAAGATATTATGTATGATTGATTTGTTACGAAGTATAAATAATTCAGCAATTCTATTGTGCAACGGACGTTTTTAGTCGCATTTTCTATAGCTTAAATTATTCTGTTATCGATTCAAGATGAAGAGTCTCATAAACTACTTTGGCTGTGTATACTTTTGTTAATTAATATAGGATATTTTTTGTTAGATTAAACATCAATCTAAAGTCAGCGATTTTCAAGCATTTTCACGTGTCCATGCATATTCATAATTCATTAAGTTGCTCGCTGGTCCGCGTGATATTTAGAATGACGGTATCCCGAGGAACCGAGATAAAACAAGCAAGAAAGGATTTTATGAAATGTATTTGTTCTGTTACCGGATGCAAGTGACAAGTCAGCAAAAATTGCTTTTTTATCAATTTATAAGAGAATAACTGTGTGTGTGGCGGTAAATAATGCTATAATGGAGGATAATTCATATATAATCGGAGCTATTCATCTGTAATAATTAAATTATCGAAAATATGATACAAGTATATTTTTTGAAAGCTAAATTTATTTAACTATCATGGCGTTATAAATATATACCGAGGTTACCGATGTAAATTACACATATATAAGTTACGGAATATGGATATAAATTATCTCGGCATCCTATAAATTAAATCCGGGCAGGGAGAGAGGAAGTGGCGGATATGTGGTATATTCGTCTTGGCCGCTTGTCACATGTCGACACGGAAAAGACAATGACCTGTTCCGCGGTCTCGTGCGGCGTAGTGTCATTAAAGCGAAGCTCCTAAATCGAGCACAATAAATCATCGGATCGGAAGCAAAGGATACAAGCGCGAATGCCCACGCGCTTATTTTTTATTCACGCTGGCCTCTCTCCTCCGACAAACACATCAACAACAAAAAATTTCCCTAGGTTGGGTAAGCGTTTCAAAATAATAATTTCGTCTCATCCTAACTAAACTAATTATGTGCGGTACTAATTAAATAAACGTTCACGAGAGTAAATAATTGGAAAATTTCAGTACGAATGACACTTTAAAAAAGATACACGTGCACACATTGCACATCGATGTACTTATCAATATCAAACAGTTATCTTTAAAAATGCAAATTATATTATACCTCGTTAAATATCCAATAAAAAGAAGTACATAAAAGATGCAGAAGCGAAAAAAGTGATACGTGAAAATGCGGAAGAAAGAGATAGAGGGAGAGAAAGAGAAGGAAAAAAAAAAACGGAAGCTTGTCACGTTGAATCCGGTAGCGATCAAGTACGTAGGAACATATACCCTCTATATGAAGAGAGCTAGCAGTTTGTGCGAGGCGTTTGATGTGACATATCACATGACCGGATGCGGGGGTAGGTAAATTGGTCGGCAATTGCTGACGCCACCAGAGCTGCAACCTATCGGCCAGTCACTCGGTCGCTCATCAACCTTGTCATCACCTGTTGATGATTCTCGTTGCTGAATTCTCGCGCATCACGAATCTCTTTGGCGGAATCTTAGAAATCCGGCGCGTTAACGCGAAACGTCACTCTTCTCGTGATTTCGAGGAATTCGCTCATAAATCATTCATATTATCACAAATAGTTGTTTTTTTTTTTATTTAGAATAATTAAATTTTTTTTTATATACCATTTATAGTAATTAATTTACGGTGATTTGTTATATAATAATTTTCTCTTTTTATTCGAAAAAGCGACGATATATTTTTCGATTGCAGTAATAATTTAATCCCCTAATTCGATAATAGTGTAGTATCTCGCATGAGACGCATTTACAAACAGACGAAATTTATTTGCCGCGCGTTTATCGCATTAAATTAAATCTCTCTGCAAAAGAGAGCTGAATTTGGCTGTTTTATTTCACGTCGGTTAAATAAATTTTGCGGATGATTAATTAAAAGAACGGGCGGAAATGCAGTGGTTGTAATTCATGTAATTCTACTGAATAAAAACGACAACGGGGCGCGTAAACATCGGATAGAACGAGCAAATACAATACAATAAACGTAAACGCGTTGCACTGATAGGCTTAACGTCGCGCTTATCAGATATTTTGAGGAA